TGGTAGCCCAGGCTGGCCTCGAACTCACAGAGATCCGCCTGCCTCTGCCTCCCGAGTGCTGGGATTAAAGGCGTGCGCCACCACCGCCCGGCTTAGTTCTTACATCTTAAATTGACACCTTTCTATTAATCTATACCTTGCCACGTGACTTGTGGCTTACCAGTACTTTTACATGTTGCTTCTCATAGCAGTGGCTGGCAGTGTCTCCTGACTCAGTCTTCCACTTCCCACAATTCTCCTCTCTGCTTATCCCACTTATACTATATTTCCTGCCTGGCTACTGGCCAATCAGCGTTTTATTTATCTGTCAATCAGAGCAACACATTCACAGCATACAGAAAGACATCCCCAGCACTTCCTCCTTTCTTTTTTTCAAAAAAGAAAAATTTTAACTTTAACATAGTAAAATTACATATAACAAAACAATTATCAAGCAAGAATTATAGTTATAATATCTAGTCTATTTGTATTTGGCAAAATTAAAGAAGATATCCTATCTATGCTATATTTGTGAGTCTAAGGTTTCATATACAACTTATCTTTTATCATAACTATGGAAATTATAACTTTCTAGTCTTCAACTGCATCAAAGACCTCAGAAGGATATAATATTACCTGAGAAATGGGAGAAGGATGCAAGCAACTTTTGGGAGTCTTGCAAGAATAGACAGAGACAGCCGGCAGCCTGGATAGTCATTGAAAATTCCTTTGTAAAGTTGTGGCATCTGCCTTCAGTCCTCAGGCCTGGAGTCTCTCAGTCACTTCTCTCTGTGTCCTGTAGAATGTTTCCTCTGCAAAGCAGGAACCTGAAGGACCATTTCACCAAGCAAAGTTTAGTGGTCATCTTTTAATGGGACTTGCATGTTTAGTCAATCAAGCAGTCCAGGCAAGAATGGTTTCTTGCCCAAATGGCTATTCTTGCCAAGAAGAAGATAAACTTCATATAGAGTGTCTTCAATGCCCATCTTTCTCTCTGAAGTAAATTGGTGCTGCAAGGAGAAGACATGTCTCACTGTCCAGAAAATCTAAATTTTTAAAAGCATTTTAAATGCCATATTATGTAGGTTTTTGAAGTGCTTGAAGACTACCTATCTGTCTGAAATATATCTATATACATCTAGAAAACTAAACTAACATGACTATAAGTTTGACTATCATAGAAGACTAATTATATTAATCTGTATTTCTTAATTATCCACTGCAATCTAAATGAGTTACATAAACATAATACCTCAAATGAGAGTAGAAATATATATACAATATAACAAATTAAGTTTAAACTTGTATCAATAAACTAAAATTCATAGCAATGTAAAACATTTCTAAACAAGTTGCTGCTCTTTAAAAGTAGGTATATTAATCTACCCTTTTATCCTATTATATCTATAATATCCCTTTTTCTTCTTTAGAAAGAGACTGTATTTATAATTAACCTGTTTTAAATAAAAATATTGGTTTTTCTCTATCCCATACCAGAGGGCTCTTTTGATATGGAACAGACTTTTTTTTTTAGCAATATGCTTGGTTTTAGATGAGTGAGCTAATTTCATCTCCATGCCAGCTTGGTATATTTGGGAATTTGGGTGTAGTGTAGCTTCTCATACTACTTCCTGCTGAATGAGGGTGCTGTATTTTTATGAGGACACACAAAAAAATTTAGGATTATGGGGTAGTCCATGAGTCTGTATTGTCTGAGATAGTTGCCTTGAAACCATTCTGGGTGTTGGATCATCTGGGCCATGGTGTCATCAAGACCTTTGAGGGGGTCTTGGCTGGTCAAATCTGATGTATCTTAATCTGGAACAAATCCACAGCCTCCTGCTTTCTGTGGAAACAAAAACAGAACCTCTTTCCAAAGCAACATATCCTTAGATCCAAAATTTGAAGTTAAGGTACCTTTAAAATATACATATTGGTTTAACTGAGCAGCCTTTACAATCACATGTCTTTCTGCAGTTAAAAATTCCAAAGACAATGCAATCCAGATTCTCTGTGTGATATCCATCTTCATGTGGTTTATCTTTTGTATTACTTTTACTTTCTCTGTAAGTACTTTTTTTTTTTTTGGTTTTTTGAGACAGGGTTTCTCTGTGTAGCTTTGCGCCTTTTCCTGGAACTCACTTGGTAGCCCAGGCTGGCCTCGAACTCACAAAGATCCGCCTGGCTCTGCCTCCCGAGTGCTGGGATTAAAGGCGTGCGCCACCACCGCCCGGCTGAGTACTTTATTTTTTAAAACTATGTTTATGTAAATATATATATATAATTTGTCTCTCTTGCAAGCCTACATACACATTTACACACATTGTAAACTATTTCATCTGAATCTGTCATTATTCTCTTGCTTTAACTGTAGCATTACCATGGTAGCAACAATGGCAAGAAAATGGCTGAATTTCCCCGAGTGTCCAGGGGCAGAAACAATAGGGAGTAGAAGTACAGATTGGAGACAACAAAGAGCCACAGAAGGGAAAGTGAGGCCTGATCAGGAAGATGTCAGCCATCTGAATGCCCTAGTCCCCAGAATTGTAGCCCTGGCCTGTAACAGGAACTGACTGTTACAAAATGTCAGGTGGGATGGGAGCTGGCACCTGCTACACACTCCTGCTCCCTGCCACTTAGAGCCAAGGGTTGCAATTGCTGCCAAGGGCTTCTGCTGGTTAAAACCCAGAGCAGACTGTCTCCAGCCTCAGTACCTAGAGCTGCCTTGATTGACTGGCTTCTAAGATCCCTGGCACTCAGGCCTGTGGCTGAAAGTCCCTGGCTCTTTCAGCACAGTTCAAAGGCCTTGGGCACTAAAGGAGCTGTCATTGCAAGCACTGGAAGAGCATGCCCATGCATACTCATAATTTCCACACCAGTAAAGCAAATGGACAATGGCAAAAGACTGATATATAATTGCTTTGAGGTATTTGATGCATCCTTACCAACAGAACCAAGTTGTTGACTTTCGGGACCCCAAATGCCCAGACATCAGTAGCAACTGCCCAGGATAGCTTCATCCCACAAATCCTTCTCCTCTGTTTCCTTCTTCTCTCTGTGGGACTGGCGTCTGCTTTGGGTGGGATCTCTTCCGTCATGGTGGGTCCTCTTTCTGTGCTTGGACTTCTCAGTTCCCACTGGCTCTAATGAGGCCTTCCTTCTGCTGAGGCCTCTGTCTTCTTTACTTAAACCCCTCCCTCTGTGGTGCTTACTCTTGGGTGTCCCTTGCTCCACACTGGTGGCTCCTCCTCACTCCTGGTGACGAGTCCTTTCCTTTCTGTCTTGATTGACTGACTGTTTTTTCTGATGATGTTGGCTTTTTAGTCTCTTCCAGTAGATGGCATTAGAAGGTCATTGTAGAGAAGATGCAGGACCAGGGGACTTTTCTACCCTTTCCCTGGCTTGCCCTTTTCTTGGTAACAAAAATGGGAGGTGTTGGGGCGTGTCCTACCTGTAGCCTGGGCACCTCAGTGAATGTCTTTGTTGGTGGACTCTGACCCAGTTCTAGATGCAGAGTTTAAATCTCAGTGGTTGTAAAGAGGACTTTCAGCCAACCTCCCCAATTGTACCTCCTCAGCCCCACCCATGGAGTCCCTGGTCAACCAACCACTGCCTGCAGGTCACCTGGCTTGGTGCCCATGAGCTGGCAATGGTTCTTGTGTTTGAATCTCAACAATACAAAGTGGAGATGTCTTCATTGAAATGTATTTCAAAGCATGTACTTGTGGGCCTGGAGGATTGCTCAGTGGGTGAAAGCATTTGGCGCCAAGCCTGATGACCTGAGTTCAATCCCTGGGTCCTACATTGGTGGATGAATGGACAACCAGGTACCCCAAATTGTTCTCTGACCTCCACATATGACATGCGCCCACTCCTTCTAACCTCAACACAATACGTAAGCATAATATAGTTTTTAGAAACATGCATTCATTTTATCTAGGATTTCATCAATAAAAATGTGGGTGTTAAAAAAAATTGCAGCAATACTAAGACTGAAACCACTGCTGTGGCTGCTGGCTCCACCTACCTCAGCTTTTTAACATAGCAGAACCAGAATTACATTTACTGCCAGATTTGGAGGAACCATGCTCACCACCAGACTCTGGGAGGCAGTGCGTCTATGCCTCTATCAAAGCAGCGTGTAGCCCAGAAACCTTTCTTTTAACTAGCAAAAACTATATCCGCCATGCAACATAGCGTGCAGCTTAGAGACACCTCTGTGTAACATGGTCTAGGTCAATCCTGCTTGCCATGAACCTGTCATAGAGTAACTCAAGACAGCAGGCTGTGGCTAACTTGAGAGAGACAACTATGATGCTGCTTTTTATCTCCATTTTAGAATCTTTTTCTCAGGTTTTAGGTGGAAACTCTTGCCCCATGTTGGGCACCATTTGTAGTTGAAGTTTGCTCCAGTCCAGTCCAGGCCTGCAGCGGCTCACCAAAATAAACACACAGAGACTTATATTACTCATAAATTGTATACCTAGGGCAGGCTTCTTGCTATCTAGTTCTTTTTTTCCTTTCTTTCTTTTTAATTTTATAATTAATTTAACTTTATATATCAGCCAAGGATTCCCCTGTCCTCCCTCCTCCCACCCCCAAGCTTTTTCCCTTAATCCTCCCCCCATTCCCACCTCTGCCAAGGCAAGGTCACACTTGGTGATTCAGCTCAGCCTGGTAGATTCAGTTGAGGCAGGTCCATTCCCCTCCTCCCTACACCATGGCTGAGCAAAATGTCTCAGGATAGACCCTAGGTTCCAGAAAGCCAGCTCATGCACTAAGGACAGGTACAGGTCCCACTGCCTGGGGGCCTCCTTAATAGTTCAAGCTAATCAACTGTCTCACTTATTCAGAAGGCCTGATCTAGTTCAACGGGGGCTCCTCAGCTATTGGTTGATAGTAGGTGTGTTTCCACTAGTTTGGATATTTGTCCCTGTGCTTTTTCCAATTGTGGTCTCAATATCTCTTGCTCATATAATTCCTCCTCTCTCTTGCTGGTTGGACTCCTGGAGCTCCACATTAGGTTTGACCATGGATCTCTGCGTCTGCTTCCATCAGTCACTGGATGAGAGTTCTATCATGACAGTTAGGGTATTGGACCATCAGATCACCAGAGTAGGTCAGGTTGGGCTTTCTATCGACCATTGCCAGTAGTCTATTGTGGAGGTATCTTTGTGGATTTCTGGGTACCTCTCTCACACTCTGCTTCTTCCTATTCCAATGGGGTCTTCATTTATCATGGTATCTCTTTCCTTGTTCTCCCACTCTGTTCCTGATCCAGCTGGGATCTCCTGCTCCCCTAAGCTCTCTTTCCCCTGACCCTTGTCCTCCATTACCCCCATTACCAGGATGCTCATGTAGATCTCATCCATTTCTCTGTTGTTGGGTGATCCCTGTGTCTTTCTTGGGGTTCTCTTTACTAGGTATCCTCCCTGGAGTTGTGAGAAGCAGTGAGATTATCCTTTGCTTTACATCTAGTATCCACTTATGAGTGAGTACATATCTTGTTTGTCTTTCTGAGTCTGGGTTACCTCACTCAGGATGATTTTTTTTCTAGTTCCATCCATTTGCCTGCAAACCTCATGATGTAATTGTTTTTCTCTCCTGAATAGTACTACATTTTGTTTATCCATTCTTCAGTTGAAGGTTGCTTCCAGGTTCTGGCTATTACAAATAATGCTGTTATGAACATAGTTGAGCTTGTGTCCTTGTGGTATGTTTGAGCATTCCTTGGATATATGACCAAGAATGGAATATCTGGGTCTTGAGGGAAATCGATTCCCAATATTCTAAGAAAGCACTATATTGATTTCCAAAGTGGTTGTACAAGTTTGCATTCCCAGCAACAAAGTAGAAGTGTTCTCCTTGCTCCACATCCTCTCCAGCATAAGCTGTCTTCAGTATTTTTGATCTTAGCCATTCTGACATGTGTAAGGTGGTATCTCAGAGTCCTTTTGATTTGCATTTCCCTAATGATTAAGGGTACTGAGCAATTCCTTAAATGTCTTTCAGCCTTTTAAGCTTCTTCTGTTGAGAATTCTGTTGAGCTCTATATCCCATTTTTTAATTGGACTGTTGGGCATTTTGATGTCTAATTTATTGAGTTCTTTATATATTCTGGATATCAGCCCTCTGTCAGATGTGGGGTTGGTGAAGATCTTTTCCCATTCTGTAGGCTGTTGTTTTGTCTTGTTGACCATGTCCTTTGCCCTACTAAAACTTGTCAGTTTCAAGAGGTACCATTTATTAGTTGTTTCTCTCAGTGTCTGTGCTACTGGTGTTATATTTAGAAAGTGATCTCTGGGGCCAATGTGTTGAAGACTACTTCTTACTTTCTCTTCTATCAGGTTCAGAGTAACTGGATTTATGTTGAGGTCTTTGATCCACTTGGACTTAAGTTTTAGGCATGGTGAGAGATATTGATCTATTGATATTGATATGATATTGACATGCAGTTTTCAACATGTTGACATCCAATTATGCCAGGACCATTTGTTGAAGATGCTTTCTTTTTTCCAAGGTACAGTTAGTTTTGGCTACTTTGTCAAAAATTATATGTTCATAGGTGTGTGGATTAATGTCAAGGTCTTCAGTTCGATTCCATTGGTCCACATGTTGGTTTTTATGTCAGTACCAAGCTGTTTTTATTACTGTAGCTCTATAGTAGAGCTTGAAGAAAGGGATTGTGATGCCTCCAGAGGTTGTTTTATTATACAGGATTCTTTTGACTATCCTGGGTTTTTTGTTTTTCCATAGGAAGTTAAGTATTGTTCTTCCCAGGTCTGTGAAGTATTGTGTTGAGATGTTGATGGGGATTGCATTGAATATGTAGATTGCTTTGGTAAGACTGCCATTTTTACTATGTTGATTCTACTTATCCATGAACCTGGGAGATCTTTCCATTTTCTGACATCTTCTTCAATATCTTTACAGGGACTTAAAGTTCTTATCATACAGGTCCTTTGCTTGCTTAGTGAGAGTTACCCTAAGGTATTTTATATTATTTGTGGCTATTGTAAAAGGTGCTGTATCTCTTATTTCTTTCTCAGTTCATTTGTCATTTGTATATAGGAGGGCTACTGATTTTTTTGAGTTAACCTTGTATCCTGCTACATTGCTGAAGGTATTTATAAGCTATATGAGTTCCTTGGTTGAATTTTTGGGGTCCCTTATGTATACTATCATGTCATCTGCAAATAGTGAAAGCTTGACTCCTTCCTTTCCAATTTTTATCCCCTTGATCTCCTTATGTTGTCTATTTGCTCTGGCTAGAACTTCAAGTAATATATTGAATAAGTATGGGGTGAGTGGACAGCCTTGTCTTGCCCCTGATTTTAGTGCAATCTCTTTGAGTTTCTCTCCATTTACTTTGATGTTGGCTGTTGGCTTGCTGTAAATTGCCTTTATTATGTTTATGTATGTTCCTTGTATTCCTGATCTCTCCAAGACCTTTATCATGAAGGGGTGTTGGATTTTGTCAAATGCCTTTTTAGCATCTGATGAGATGATCATGTGGTTTATTTCTTTCATTTTGTTTATATGGTATATTACATTGATGGACTTTCACATGTTGAACCATCCTTGCATCCCTGGGATGAAGCCTACTTGATCATGGTGGATAATTGTTTTGATGTGTTCTTGGAGTCTGTTTGCCAGTATTTTATTGAGTATTTTTGCATCAATGTTCATGAGGGAGATTGGTCTGTAGTTCCTTTTCTTTGTTGTATCCTTGTTTGGTTTAGGAATCAGGGTAATTGTAGCCTCATATCAGGAGTTCAGTAATGTTCCTTCTGTTTCTATTGTGTGGAACAATTTA